GGAAAGGGACCTGGTTTTTAAATGTCAAATTTGGCAAGTGATTAAAGTCATAAAAGTAACTAATAATCCTCCTGTGGGATCTAAACAACAGAAAAAATGGGCAAGATATTTAGGTTCTGAAAAATGTCCACTGTATGTGAACAATAAGTACGGGTTGTTTTTTCTTTAAAGCACTGCATTCGTTTTTGGCTGCCTAGTTCCCACTGTTTTGAACAGCAGTGGTATAGCTTAGATTCCTCCCCTCTAATACCTACCTTGGAAATACTATTGACGAAAAAGTCTTTTTAAGAGCTAAAAGTCAGAGCATGTAGAGCTAATTCTCAGCCTCTTTTACCTAAACCATTCTGCTTTATTATTATTGTGGTCGGTAAGTACCTTCATGGATGCAAAATTTCTGATAGCAGATGGCTCTTTAATGCAACCAATGGATAGAAGGCAAAGCTGATGCATTTGAACCAGAAATAACTCACCATTTAAAAGCATTTTTGAGGGTAATCAGCACAAAGATTATGTCTGTGGCTCGGTTTCTCAATAGGTCATCGGGAGTGAAGCAGCACCTTTATGGGTTACGGGGAAACTTATCCCCTGCTGAACATTTAATAGGCTAACACAGGGCTTTGGGACTCAGCCGCCAATGGACTGACAGCAGCATCATGATGTGTTAACTGGTGCTTGGTCACATCGTTCTGATCTCTCTCTTCCAACTCCTGGCTAAGAACAGAGGACACTGCCTTCTGCTAAACCAGACCATGGGCGCATCCTGCCAAGTGTGTTTGACACTGACTGGCAGCTGCTTGCTAGAATTTCAGCCTAAAGCTTTTCCTTCCCTCCCTGGAGATGCCATTGATCTGACCTAGGACCTTCTGCATGTAAAACTGGACCTCTGGTCAAAAAGTAAATTCTTTTCTTCTTGTAGGCCATTTTTGAAAGCCAAAATGAAAATGGGCACTCAGGAATGAAGGCACTGCTGTGGAGTAGTGACTGGGACATCCTTCAGTGTGGAAATCCTGGGTTCAGATCTTTTCTTGGTTAGGCCGCTCACTGGGCACGTTTGTCTCCACTGAAACAGAGAAGAATACAGTTCATGATCTTCTGAAACAGGGAAGAATAGAGCTCACCGCATCCCAGAGGTGGTCAGAATCACCTGCTGTTTAAAAAAATACGGAGGAAGTGAGATGCACAACTCTCCACATTGCTTAGGATTCCTTCCCTGCATTTCCAATGTCAAGAAGCATAAAGCACTCTGCTCTTGGTTTTATGGAAGCTGTGAAGTGGCTCTTGGAAGTATCAGTGCAGACATATGTTTTGGCCCTGACTTCATGTGGCACCAAATGAGCACATGCCCATTTTACTTCTCATGGTTTGCAACTCATACTTTTTAAAAAGTTTTGCCCCACTGAGAATTATCCAGTGGTTCAGCTGCCACCATGTGATGGGTAGTGGACTGAGAATCGCACCTGTGCAAACACAGGTGTGCAGGTAAACATGCATACGCACAGCTGCTTGGTTGGCTGTCCGGTTCTGAGGAAGAGGGTTCATGTGCATCCATCCATCCGTCATACACAAATGGGCACAGTTGGCACTCGGATGAGCAGCTCCTCGAAATGCTGGCTGCGTCTCCAGATTTGTGCAATGCTCTAGATCCCAAGGGGGACCACAAGCATCCTCACGGTTATCTCTGGCCCATCATGGAAGTGCCCGCAGGGATCCCTCCACTCAGGTAGCAGGGCTTGGAGGAAAGAGGCCACCATAGGGTTGCTCAGGACTGGCGATTTCCTGATTTAGGACTTTAAAAGGCTCAGAAATGGATCCGCAACCAATGAAACGATGCATGTTGGCGTGGGGTGACAAGGTGCAGCCCAGTGCATACATTGGCTACTTATTCCTCATTACTTGAAGTTTCCAGACAGACCTTAAAGGGAGCCATAGGAATGGGACCCAGCAGAGGTCTAATCTGGCTGTGACCGAGGTGTGAATAACTCCACCAACCCGGTCCAGCTTTGTCCAGTGGCTTGAATCTATCCAAATTTGGGCATCCACTTTGGCATCCCAAAAGAGGAAAAATTGCATTAGTTTCATCTATGCTGACATATTCACAGTTGCAAATTCAAAAATTTCCGATGAATACAGAGCAAAATGACATGTTGGAAAAGAGGAACAGGGTATGGCAGTCTTCATGCAGATGTATCTCATACGCACAAATGCAAGTTTTTTAAAAGTCTGTAAATAGAAGTGCGACGACTCTCACTGCAGCAGGGAATGTTGTAACAAGACTATCTGGGTGTCTGTTCTGTTGGCTGCCCGGGTGGGCAACTTCGTGCCCTTAGCTGCTCTCCTTTCTCTGTTCCTAAATCTGACCTAGCCCAGGCAGGCCTTCAAACAGAGGATACCTTTGAAGAGAGGACCGTCCTCTGAAAATGAGGCCACATGACCATCGCCGCCTGCATTCAATCAATGCACAGAGCTCTCAGTCTAATTCAGTGGTGGGGAGAGCACCGAGCCAGGAGCATCATGCGCCCGTCATGGCTTGTGTTGAGCTTTGACATATATACGTTTAAGTTAATTTCTTATTGTAAAATATTAAACGATTGGGAAGCTTTTTTAATTTAACGTTTAG